TCAAACAATGCAAACAATTGGTGTTAATAGAAAAAAAAAAGCATACCGTTAATAAAAAAAAAATATATATATACCGCATCACGCACGGCCATAGCACTTCCGTACCTTTTGCAACTTACGCTTGATTAATAGAGCTGACATCAAAGAAATCCAGTCAAATTCAGCACATAACCCACTAATTGAAAACGTATTGATGAATGAGCTAAATTCTAGCACGCACGAAAATTGCAGTTACAAGCAGCGCAAGAAAGGTATTTCAAGCTATGCACAACGAAACTACTCGTGACGAAACTAGACCATAACACCCTTTTTTAGAATGGTATCAGCTTGGATAATCCCGAAACATAAGGGCGTCATCGTACTGATGAAGTCCAGTTGTGGTGCTGAATAGAATTCCATACGTGTACCGGAACATTCCTGTTCATCTCACTTTTTTTTAAAATTTATATATATATATATCATTATCCGGTACTAGACTGATGAGCCTCAGTTCCTTATCTGCACATAGTAAATCGTTGGCCGCTTGATCGCCGAACGAGGATGTAGCCAACTTTAAAAACAATTGAGATAGTCGGGAAATATAAATAATGCTTTAAAAACAATCGAGAAGTGGCAGATTACCGCACTGTTGCTTAGAACCAAAAAACGTCTACATGGATAAATTACGAAACGAAGAAAACAAAAGAACGAATTCAGATGAGAAGCCCTGCATTATGCCGTGTACTAAATCCAAGAAGTCACTCAGTTCTGTATGTACACCCAAAATTAAGATAAAATTTTCAATGCAACGCAAACAGAGAAGCCGGTGTTAAATCCAGAGATTCGCGTTAGAATGATGCGATATCCTAGCTCGTCCACTTCCTTGCATTCTTACTGCCAGAATTAGACTGTTCTAGCAGGCACGCATATTTCAAGCACACAAATACAACAGAATTTTGTTCGGATTTAACGTATTCCATAAATGTTCGCAAACAAACCCAAAGAAAAAAAAACACAAAAATGAAAAAAAAGATGACGAAACTGCACTCGATGTACTATATAAAAAAACT